TATTCTCATCAGGTGGCTTGTTAAAGCTAGCCTTATTTCAAATACTCTTGCTTGGTGAGGGGATGAAATGTTCGGTCTTCACATACTGATGGTTAAGCTTGCAAAAACTTCTTCTTCTTCTTCGCGTTCACCAGCTGTACACTCTGGCGGAAAGTTCTGGTTGTTCGTCCACACCTGGACTGCAGTCCTGCTCCAGAACCTGAGTGTTGCGTGTGCATCAGTTTTACAGATTTGATTCACTTTAATGCAGACTGTTGGTTCCTTGCCTCTCAGGCAGATACAATCCGACTTCAAAGAAAGCTACCAATTAGTCGACTCTTACAACATGCTTTCTGGTAGGCAGTGGGTCTATTCTTGTTTTCCCCCACAATGGGGCCTCGGATCCCACACGGGTAGCTTGCATAATGTTAAGTAGCCACTTTCCTTCCTCACTACCTTTCTCTCTTAGACAGTTCTGAAAATACTGTCCCAAATACAACATATGAAAGCAAAACTTTTGGCCAGGAGAAACATCAGTGCAAGTCAAACTTTATGGGTTGCCGAGTGAATTACAAAAGACAGTGAAGTTCATATTAGAGACAGCATTGCAGATATTGATAGTTTATTTCAAGCAAATGAAAGAAGAAAACAAAAAGAAGTTCTGAAAATTATCCTTTGCTTACGGTATGAAGCTGGAAAAAAGAATCCGCCACTGTTGGTGATTGGGCCTGAATGATTACTGATAAGCTAGCATCTAACCTACATGCACCATCACCCCTCTTTGTAATATGACAAAATATACAAAGGCAAACATTTCTATGGTTCAGTTGATTCAAGAACCGACATCACAGCACTTGGGGCATTCCCATAAGCGCTCCATCCCCATCTTTAGCAGCCAGCACAGAGTTCCAATACCAGTGTTACCAGTAGCAGTCTGATTTTTTCCTAGAGATTATGTCAGGAGACATGTCTGATATTGATCACTATGATCCACTATGGTTTGATCTGTCTAGATTAGTTGTTTCCAACACACCATTCTTAGTTGAGCTCCCACTGCACCCTGCCGGAAATGCACAGTGGAGTCTGTTAAAAATTTCTGGTCATAGAGTTTGTAAAGCTTACAGCCATTGGGTTATTTCTGTTAAGGCTTCTCTCTGTTTCACATTTCTGTAAAAGTTCTTGTAATCAGGGCCTGGGTTTTTTCTTCTAGAAAAAAAGGTGCCAGTAACACTGCTAGATGTCTAATAAAAGCTGATAATAGGCACCACAAACTTTCTACTATAGTAGTGCTTAAAAAGGTGCTGGTACTGTATACCATTGTTTACCATCAGAGAAAACAACAAAAATAAGAAAAAGAATAATCAGCTATGTAAACAGAAATACCCTCGAGGCTGGTGTAAAATAACTATGTAATTCCCCATTTTCCCTCAATAATATGATTTCTGCAAATACCCAGCTTAAACAGACACATTAAGGAATATATAGAAAAGCTTCAGTGAGTTTGGTGGTGGGGGGGGGGGGGGGGGGGGTTCTGCTCTAAGGCTTAGCTAGGGATTATGATCTTAGATTATCCCACACAAATATTGTGTTACAAGGAAATCTGGGTTTTATGTTTATTGTGAATATTTTCTGTAAATATTTTCTATGTGGCTGGTAATTCTAAATTTGGTCCACAGATCCACACACACACACACAAATTGCCCACCTCTCAAATAAACTAAAATGAATTTGAAAGGCTGGGAAACGAAATGCGAAGGAGGGAGATGGATAGATGGAGATGTAATATGGCAAAATGATTAGGCATGGCATATTTTTGCTTCCGAAAGCGCTTTGCTAATGCAGTTTCCACATATGAACAGTAGTCTATGATGTTGCTGCCTGTGCTACTAAGTTTAGTGCTTGGTGCAGCCCTGTGAGCTGTGTTTTTCATGCAGCGAGTATGTCGTGGTATTTAATATGGCCGGTAGCTGGTTTATATGTGAGCTGGTTTATATGTGTTATATAATAATTCTACATATATGCATATATATAGCCAACTTGTCCTGCCCGACTACTTCCATTAATGACAAACTCCGTTTCTGGTGGAGACTGTTGGCTTTGGCATCTCTAGCAACTGTCATATGCATTTACTGAGTATGCATATTTCTAGATTGTTCCAGGACTAATTGTTGTTCATCAATCTTTCAAATGGGACATTTGATTTGCATTGGCACAGGAACGAGCTAGTGTGGGGAAACCCGATTACGGTGAAGTTGAAACCTTGACTAAGGCTAAGATTAAGACTGCAATGACTGGAGAATATAGAGAGAAAAGCAGATAACAGAGAGACAAAAACTGTATACACAGAAGACCTGAACGGAAGCAGACCATGAGGCAGACCAAGGAGATTGTGGAAAGATATATAGACAGACCTACAAACACTTAGAGTCATCAGCTGGAAAGATAAGGACAGTCACAGAGATGAATGAACCTCAAGGGCTCAGAATGCTGCATAAAATAAGGAAAAATTAGAGTGAAAGTAAGCTACTCTGAAAACCATTTTTTAATTTTTGTTTATTTCAACAATGTGAGCTAGTCCTGCAATGAGTCCTCCAGTAAAGAAAGCTAAACTAGATGCTGAAGATGAGGCCTCAGAAGAAGCACACCCTGATCTGTTTAACATCAATGCCATGCCAGAACAACCTAAAGAACTTAAGAAAGGTCAGCTGGCTGCTGATAAAATAAGACATTATTTTGAAAAGGTAAGTGAACCATTGGTATTGCCGCTCCCATTTTCAAAATGCTTCTTTAAAATCACATGCTATAAAGTTACCTGATACACACATTTTCTTCTTCTTCATCTTCTTCTTCTGTGCTGACACGTAATAGGGTGGTTGGCACATTATATTGTGGTTTGCAGCTAGGCTGCAGTATTTGCACTGTTCGGCCCAGTACATTTGATTTCTGTCTGCCACTGATTTTCAGGTGATAGTTTTCTGTGAAGTCTGTGGTGCGATGCATGCCTTCCTCTATTTCATACAGAATGGTTTCCATTGGAGTGCCAACCGACCAAACCCGGGATCTCTCTACTGCGTGTGGAGAACATGCCAGGAGCATGCTGCTGCTGCTGCTGCTGCTGTATTTCTTCTTCTTCTTTCGTTCACCTGAAATAAGTTGTCTATATCAGCAATTTTGTCTCTTGTATAAATTTCACTGTTGTTGTTAATTCATTCAGTGGTCCATAGAGTTTACGTTCCACCGTTGTTCTTTCTGGCCAAAAGGTTTGCTTTAATGTGTCAAATTCAGTGCAGTCCTGGAGTACATGCTCTGCTGTCTGGGGCACCTTTCCACAGGTGCACATGGCTGATACACCTATCTTGAATTTTGTGTACATGTGGTTACGTAATCGGTTGTGCCCTGTTTTGAGGGCTGCTGTATTTTATTTTTATGAGTAGGTTTTTGTTCGAGTAGGGGGAAAAGCAGTTGGTCACCTGCTGCTGAACTCCTTAATGTTCTTAGATAAGTGCTATGAGTGCGGATGTGCTAGAAAGATGTTAACGCGGGAGAGAGTTGTGTCTCTGTGAGATAGTGCTTTATCCATCAACATTATTTTCTGAATAGTAGGTTGGATTTAGGACTTCATTCTTGAATTCTTCTTCTTCTTTTTCTTCTTCTTCTTCTGCTTGCTTGCGCGCGCGCGCGCGTGTGTGTGTGTGTGTGTGTGTGTGTGTGTGTGTGTGTGTGTGTGTGTGTGTGTATATGTGTATGTGTGTGCGTGTGCATGTAAGTATGCGCGCGTGTGTGCGCGCACCAGTTTTTGCATGTATTTTACAACCCATGCTTTTGTGTTCTTTCGTGATGTTCATAATATGCAAATCATCATATGATCAAAACATGCTTTATTGGTAAAATGCAACTGCTGTGCGAAAGATGGGTGATTGGAATGGCCTAATGTAAGACTGCCTGTGTGCTCAATTTGTGACCTTTTAAAAATAGTTAGTTTGTTCATCATTTCCTCTCTCTATCAGTATAATTATCTCTCTTCTTCCTCTCTCTGTCTAAATTATTCTTGTCTCTGAATCTAAATATAACTTCTCTCCTCTCAAAATCTCATCTCCTCTTTCTTTCTCTCTCAGTCCTAAACTCCTTCCTTCATTCGCCTATCAAAATCTTCATCCTTCCCTCTCTCTTAGTCTAAATATGGTCTTTTTAAATTTTAAGACTAAATTTTAGAGGAAGAAAAGAATAAAGCCCCCCCCCCCCACCCCCACCCCAAAGCATGTGGTTTAAATGCAGCTTATTAGGGGTTCACTGAAATGAGATGTGTTGGGCCAACATGCATACGTATCCCATCTTAGCCATAAACCACATTATAACATGCCATTCACACACAAAAAAAGAAGTAAAAATATTGTATTTTTTTTCTTCCTGTCTCTGACTTTCTTAATTTAAATCTTAGTCCACAATTTACTGCTTCTGTCTTCTTCTTCTTCTGCTGCTGCTGTCATCTGCTTCTGCTGCTGCTTTCTCTCTCCTTCTAAATCTCTTATCTCCTCTGTTTCTCAATCGACATTTATCCTGCTCTTTCTTTCTCAGTGTAAATCATGCTTTTCCTTTGCAATGCCAGTCTAAAACTCTTTCTGTTCAACTCCTGCCTCATTGTCCAGGAACCTTGCCTTCCATTGCCAGTCTTTCCAAATCAGTGTTTGTCTATCTGTAGATAAAGAGATTAATTTAGTTAAGTTCCTGTTTCGCTTTTTGTTTTTTCACATGGCATGTAGTTTTTTAATCAGATGTTTACTTTGTCATTTGCCAGCGTGACACAGTTGCTGGCCTTGACCAACATTGATAAGATATTGTTTCATGAGCTAACGGTAAAAGGACATGTGGCATATGAGGCTGTTGTTAATGTTAACTTAAGTTCTTTCTTGATACCAGGAACTGTCTTAAACAGTGTTTGATTTAAACTGTCTTGGATTTTTAAGTGGGAACGTCAGCTTAGTTACATTGCTAGTGTGTATACATTATTAATAGTGTACAAAATGCCTCAAACTGAGCCAGATTTTGGTTTAATTAATGAAGCTCATCCGGAACTATTTAATATTCAGGCAATGCCTGCACAACCTAAAACTTTGAAACCTGGACAGTTAACTGAAGATAAAATTAGACATTTTTTTGAGAAGGTGAGCCAAACTGAGAAAGTTTAATCTCTTTTCTTAGTTGCAGTATTCATTATGTTGTTATCCTAATAGAATTTATATCATGCTTTATTCTGTTTGTGTGTAGTAACTGTGGATAAAGCACATTTTGTAGGTATCTGTCTTTAGTACAGTGGTTCTCAACCTTCCTAATGCTGTCACTCTTTAATACAGTTCCTCATGTTGTGGTGACCCCCAGACATAAAATTATTTGTGTTGCTTCTTCATAGCTTCAGTGAATATGTGTTTTCCAATAGTCTTTGGCGACTCCTGTGAAAGGGTAATTAGACCCACAAAAGAGTAACGACCCACAGGTAGAGAGCCGCTGCTTTAGTACTGTTTTCATTTTCATCACCTGCTTGGAAAGCATGTGTTTAATCATAAAGAACATGAAAGCCACTTTCCTAATGTTTAAAGACCAGCCAATTGCATTTTATTCTTCTATTATCAATATTCTGCTTTGTGCCACTAGGTGTAGCAGGTTAATAGATGATCAGTATCAGAGCTAGGGCATGCTCAGTTTCCCCAGTATGCTGTGATGTTTGTGGAGTCTCATTGTATCAGTCACTCTTTCAGTCCGTCTTCTTTTTGGCTGTCCTTCACCTCTTGGTGTGTTTCTACTTTTAGGTCATATTCTCTCGTTGCTGGTATCATTGAATTTATTCTTATTAAATAGTCAAACTTTTTGTCTTTGTGCAGCGTCCGTGGCTTAGGTGTTGCCAGTCTGACTCGTGATTCCAACGTACCGCGATCGAAACCCACTGCTGGCTGTGTGGTTTTTTATCATGGTATGGGGCGTTGCAGGTCGACCCAGCCTGAAATGGGTACCAGGATGTATGTCCTGGGATAGTAAAGACGGCTGTTGTAATGCTGAGCACTTTACCCACCTAGTGCCGATTGGTCTGTAAAAATATGGGTGCTCTTCCCATATGCCCAATGCACCTAAAGGTGTGGAGACAAAAATGTGATCTTTTCTGTCTTTGTTTTTTTATAAATTTAATATAGGTGTTGTTTCAATAGTTCTTGTAGTTTTTCCTTTCTCATATGATCTCTTATAGTTTTGTTCACAGCCTTTCTCAAACATCACATTTTGCAAGTGATCAGTTTTACTTTCATGTTCTTTTGTCATGTCCAAGTGTGACACTGACAGCACAACATTGGTATTTTCTGTATTAGACATCTGTTCTGGTAGCCCATTCTCTGAGATGAGTTAAGTTAAAAACCGACAGTACAGCACTCAGAACATTTCCTTTAAGCACTCTGTCCCCATCTTCAGCAGTACAGTTCTGATGGTATGAGGAGCATTTTGATTATATTTCTGTCCTGCCTTTCCCAGTTGTTTCCTTGTAATTTGTTAACAGAGTTGTTGCCTTGTAATCTATGTTAACAGAGTTGTTGCCTTGTAATTTGTTATGATAACTTTTCTTGAGCCAAGTGTTTGCTGCACCGAGATGGAAACTACCTTAGAGAATATTACTTGTTTGCAGTAGCCTGTGAGTGTATGGTATAAAAAGAGTTGAAAGCTATAAAAGAGGTTAAAGCAAAAATATTCTAAAATTATAATCTTGAATCAAATCTTTTGCTTAGCAATTACCAGCTGTAAACTGTGCGGGAATTTCTGGTAGTTTATCCACTTCTTGACTTTGGTTTTGCTCCAGAACTGGAGTTTTGCATGCACATCCATTCTACAGATGGCTTATTTGTATTCAGACTGTTGGTTCATCATCTCTCAGGCAGCTGCATTCCTAATTAGTTGACTTTTACAGCCTGCTTTTCTAGGGTGGCAGGAGACCTAGTCTTTTCCCCCCTAAAATGGGACTCTGAAACCCACACAGAGAGGAATAAAATGAAATATAATTATTTATAAGCTAAGAAAGAGTTATACACAGAGCGTATCATGACCCATCCAAAAACGTCGGCAACGGGGTCGCCCTTTGGCTCACCAACAGATGACCCTCATCGACGGTCGGGACAGTATTTGGGTCTGTCTCCTCTGATCGCATCAACACTGCAGGAGTCATTTTCAGGGCTACTATGTGGCGTGCAGTGCTAAGCTATTTTATATGGTGCACATAACCTAGTCACAATTATAACCTAAAGCTCCCCCTTTGGAGATGCTGGTTGAGCAAAGTGTTGAAGAACAACCAGGCTACTGTAGGCTACTTTATCCGTTTGGGTACCCTAATGTAACTGCATTGTACAACTGAAAGAGGATTTGCTTCAGTTGCAATTTTTATCCAGATAGTGGTTCTCTGAGTCACTGGATGTTAATTTTTCTAAAGAAGTCTTGGTAGAAGCAGGGGGATTAATACAGAGAATATTCTAAAATATAAACTTGTAAACCAACCATCCTTGGTTTCTTCTTTTCCCCCATGGGGGTTCCGGGGCCCCGTTTTGGAGGGAAAAGGAAAGACGAAGTGCCTCCCCTAGCAAGTATGTCATAAAAGGCAACTAATTAGGGGTTTTCCTTCAAAGTTGGAGTGCATCTGTCTGAGAGGAGAGGAACCAGCAGTCTGTGAACAAGTAAGCCAGACCTGTAAAATGGATGTGCACACAAAACCCAAATTCTAGACCCCAAAAATACAGTCCAGAAGTTGATGAACAACCAGAACTCTCCGCCAGAGTTTACAGCCGGTGAACAAGAAGAAGAAGCAGCTGCCACTTTGGACTTTTTGCCAGTCTCTCCCTGTCCTACACTGCTTTAAAAAGGGGCAAACACATGCAGTCAAGACAGTTTTTATTATAGTTGTTTCTACTTGTCTCTATTCTCAGGGTTACTTGCTGGTTCCTGAATTCTTCAAGCATGAAGAACTTGATGTGTGTAGAAGAGACATTGAGAAGCTTGTGGATGATCTCGCACAGATGCTCTACGATGGAGGAAAGATTGCAAGTAAATAACACTTTTAATAACAAAATAGTGTAGTGTCTGTCTAGTATGCTTGCTTGCTGGTGATATATTAAAATCCTTCTTCTTTTTTTTTGTTCTTCTTCTGCACTATGGAGCTGCAGATTTCATGCTATGTGTGATGCTCTTGGCAGACGGCTAACCATTCTGTGGAGAGAGACCAAGCCATATGGGATAAAAACCCAGTGCAGTGAAGTCAATCATCTCACCTTTAACCTTAAACTTTTCATCTTTGCATTTACCTTCTGTAATTTCCAGCCAAAAGTCCTGATTGTTTATCCACTTCTGGACTTTGTTCTCATTGAAGAATATGAGCACTGCATGCACATCTGTTTTACAGATTTGGCTTTTTGTTTTTATTTGCAGACTGTTGCTTCCTTGTCTCTCAAGCAGATGCACTCTGATTTCAAAGCAAATGTTGATCCTATTTACATTGGGTAGGCTTCTAGAGGGAACCTGTTTCTAGAATGACCACAGAGAGATGTTGATAGGTGTTGATCCATATGAGCCTTGATCTTGCTGCACCACGACATGAGATTCAGCAACTCTGAGTTATGAGTTGGATTATCTCACTCCGGACACATCCATAGGTTCTCAGATTCCCCCTTCAACATATTCATCAGTGTTGTGCAGTTAATAGTAGGGCTGTACCGAATAGTGATTTTCACTATTCGGCCGAATACGAATAGCTGGACCAACTATTCGGCTGAATACGAATACGAATAGTGAATCATCATCATCAGGTGCTTTGCCGACTGGCTTGGGCAATTATGCCTCGCCACAATCTGCGATCTCCTGCAGCATGTATTAGTTCGTGTGCTGACACACCTCCATGCCATGCAACAAGACTGTCAAGAATCATCTCTCGTTGGCTTCCTCTATCCCTCCTTCCACATATCTTTCCAGTGGTCACTACATCTTCCCTTATCTTTTAACATGGCCGAAAAATGATGACTGTCTCGTTCCGATGTCTGTGAGTAGTTGTCTTCGGGCTCCCGCCTCTATCAAAACCACTTGGTTGCTTTTTTTGGGCTGTCCAAGGTATTTTAAGCATTGTTCTGTAAAACCACATCTGAGGCTTCAAGAAATTGTTTGGCCTGCCTACCAATTGTCCAGGACTTACAGCCATATGTTAAAACTGGATGTATGTAGCAAGCAAGAATTCTTTTTCTAACCTTCAATGACAAGGATATATTGCATAAGATGCTCTTCATTTTATAAAATGCAGTTTTTGTCTGTCCTATTATGTTCCTTATTTCAGTAATGCATCTTCCATCTGATGTTATCCATGTGCCCAGATACTTAAATTTCTGTACTTGTCCCAAAATAAAACCATTGACTTTTATTACACATTTAGGAATAATTATTTTCTTTGATACCACCATTACTTCTGTCTTCCCACTATTCACACTGAGGCTCATTCTTCCACTTTCGTGTAGAAAATAGATCTAAAAAGAAAACACCCATAATGTCAAATGTACGCTGACATTTTACTTCACACAATGTAGTACAGAATAGTAAGCATTTATAAACATTTCATGTTTTGCGTTCTTCAGTCAGCCAGTCTGTGGTAACTAATACATAGGAATGAAAGTATTCTTAATTTTATAACAAGTAACTAAACTTGTAAATTGTCACTGACAGCTTAGTTAATCCATGAAAGCGACATAAGCTTTCCAAAAAAAAAAAAAAAAAATTGTTTCATGTTGTCAGCATTCAGGCAGCTTCTTGTCTCACTGAAGGTATTTCCAGCTGTACTAAACAGACGCTCACTTGGTAGCTCGTAGGTGGTGCACAAAGATAACGCTTGACAGTATGAACCAAGGTGGGAAATCTTGATATGTTTATTTTCTACTAGTCCAGAAACGGGTGTAAGGTAACCACTATTCGTATTCGGCCCGACCGCAACTATTCGGCCGAATACCGAATAGTTATTAGGTCCACTATTCCGCCCCGAAGCGAATACGAAGCGAATATTCGGTACAGCCCTAGTTAATAGTGCCAGTCCTATGCTGGTTGACAAGAGTTCATGTGCATCTGATGTGCCTCTCATGCTTGGCTGTGGTGACCTTTACTTAAAATTGTTGTATTCTTAGCAGTGATGTGGCCTCATTGCTTCCACAATCTTAGGAATGTCCTATCTCTCTGAAGGCACTGACAATGTCGGCATGATCCATAGACCAGCTTTTTGCAACTAATGCAGAACCTGCCAGTCTGTCAGCTCTTTCACTGCTGACAGCACCTTTGCCTTCCTGGAACCTAATTGTGTTGCCAGGTCAACCAAAAAATTAATATTATATGACTTCCCCATTTGTTTCCAGGGCCCCATTGAGGGGAAAAGAAAAATAAACCCACTGCCTTCCCAACAAGCATGAGTGCATCTGCCTGAGAGGCAAGGAACCAACAGTTTTTAACTTTCTGCTGTAGTTTATAGCTAGTGAATGCAAAGAAGATGAAGATATTTAGGAAAGTAAAGAAGGCTGACATATTGACATCACCCACTGAGTTCTGATTGGTTTATAAAAAGATGCAGCTAACACCGTTGACTTGAAACACCTCGAAGTGTGAAAATGGGTGGTGTTTTTAAATTTTCTTCTTCTTCCTTTTAGCACTCACCAGCTGTAAACTCTGGCAGAAATCTCTAGTTGTTTGTCCACTTCTGGGCTTTGGTCCTGTCCCAGAACTTTGAATTCTATGTGCACTTCTGTTTCACAGATCTGGCTTATTTGTATGCAGACTGTTAGTTCCTTGTCTGTCAAGCTTCCCCTAAGAAGCATGTAAAAGGCAACTAATTAGAAATGTTTTTTTTCAAGTTAGAGTGCATCTGCCTAATATCAGAAATAAACCAGATCTGTAAAACATTTGTGCATGCACCAAAAATAACTCAAGTCCTGGAACAAGACCAAAGTCCAGGAATGGACAAACATCCAGAACTTTCCACCAGAGTTTACAGCCGGTGAATTCTAAAAAGAAGCAGAAGAGTTTAACTTGTATTCTTGCAGTAAGTTTATAATGTTCAGAATTCTTCATCACAATGGAGGATGTTAGTAGTTCTTTCTTTGCTAGCCAGACTAGCCTTGGTTTCCTAGGATTCGCTGCTGGGATATGAAGAATTATCTTGTTCATCATGATACCTGATGCCAGACTGTACCAAGTCTTCAACAATACTTTGTTCTTCTTAATGTACATCAAGAATGGGACAGGACTAAGTTGTCATGCACTTATTCATCTAGCGGAAGATAGAAAAAGATGGTGGGTTTTGTGTGCTAGTGCTTCCATCGATACACCCTAACGGGTCAAGGGTTTTGCGGAAGTCGCATCAGTGCAGTCAGTAGGAGACTCGCTTTCAAATCTAGCTGTAACTCGTTGTAGCCCACGACTGGTGTTTGAAACCGGGCAGTTCCTGGGGATTACTCAGCCTCTAGGAAATGGGTACCAGAGTTGACACTCTGGGGGAAAATGGAGGAACGTCACTGTAGCTACGGAGTTTCATGTGGACGGCGACACAGACGGCCAGTTTCTTATCAGCTGTCCGCACTTATGCTTTATAACCGTGTGCAATGACGCTGGTTCACATCTCCTGACTTTACCTTTACTTTACCTTTACCTTTAAGGGTTATGTTGTGTTTATGTTTAATGTACCCCTGACATGATTAACCCAAAAGTTAGGCGTCTGTCCTTTACAGCAGGCGTGTCAAACTGAGGGTCCTCTGAGGGCCATAAGGGTCACGTTTTGCCGTCTTGAGGTCCACACATGACAGCTAATTTGAGTCATTTAATTTAAAAAAGTATTGCAGAGTATTTCCTTTTTGCGGGCCTGCAGGTGTGCTGGCAAAGAGCTGTTTGTTGCACATGGACTGCCAGTTTGGCATGTCTGCTTTACAGAACATTGCAGAACCAACCCCAGTTTTTGTTTGACTGTTTGTGAATTTATGTTTAATAGTTTGCCATTGCTTTCTGAATGATCGGCTGTTGATACCACTGTTGAAATCAACGCTAAGCGATCTGCTGCCAGATCTCATGCAGCTGAGATTGAACCCAGGAACTTGGGCAGTCTCGTGCTATAAATTTTCTCAGTGTGATACCAGTCTTCAAAATGCCACCCCTAATAGCTTCATGCTGTCAGATCAAAAGTTGAAATTGTATTTTGATTTCACTGCCTATGCCACCCCCTTTATAGTGCCGCCTGATGTGGCTGTCTATCTGCACGGCCCTGACCTTGGGGTTATGAAGCATATTAGCAACACCTAAACCACAGTCCCTGACCTTGGGATTATGAAGCATATTTGCAACACCTAAACCACAGTCCCTGACCTTGGGATTATGAAGCATATTTGCAACACCTAAACCACAGTCCCTGACCTTGGGATTATGAAGCATATTTGCAACACCTAAACCACAGTCCCTGACCTTGGGATTATGAAGCATATTTGCAACACCTAAACCACAGTCCCTGACCTTGGGATTATGAAGCATATTTGCAACACCTAAACCACAGTCCCTGACCTTGGGATTATGAAGCATATTTGCAACACCTAAACCACAGTCCCTGACCTTGGGATTATGAAGCATATTTGCAACAACTAAACCACAGTCCCTGACCTTGGGATTATGAAGCATATTTGCAACAACTAAACCACAGTCCCTGACCTTGGGATTATGAAGCATATTTGCAACACCTAAACCACAGTCCCTGACCTTGGGATTATGAAGCATATTTGCAACACCTAAACCACAGTCCCTGACCTTGGGATTATGAAGCACATTTGCAACACCTAAACCACAGTCCAGACTACTAGACACAGATTAACCTGTATACCCACACATAATACTTGATTTACTTATTTTCTGTATAGAAAGCTTAAAAATGTGTATTGCTTGTAACTATGAACATATCTTTTAAACCTTGTAGGTTTGTATAAAGAGCATGGGCTATTCCAAAGACTGACTTATATTGAGAAAGAGTTTCCAGGAGCTAATATCCTACTTCACAAACAAGGAAAATTGACAGAGGTGATATGAAAGTGTAATTACTGTAGTTGGATTGGTTTTATGGTTGGGAATCAAAATCATTGCACTCAGGACACACTAATAGGTGGTTTACCTTACTCAATAGTTGTTAAGTATGTCCTTTTTACAGCTGTGAGAGCCTGATGACAATATGAACATCATATGAACCCCATTGGTTCAGTTTGAATGTGTTTTCCATTTAGAGGGATATACCCAACCAATAATCAGATCTTCTTCTTTGTTCTTCGTGTTCACCTGCTGTAAACTCTGGCAGAAAGCTCTGGTTGTTCGTCCATTTGTAGACTTTGGTCTTGTTCCAGAACCTAAGTTGTGTGTGCACATCCACTTTACAGATCTAGTTTATTTTAATGCAGACTGTTGGTTCCTTGCCTCTCAGGCAGATGCACACTGACTTCAAAGGAAACTTCCTGAAATAGTTGCCTTGTGTGACATGATTGTTAGGGAAGCTGGGGGTTTATTCTTTTCCCCCCACTATATTGTGGTCTCAAAACCTACACTAGGAAATGATTAAGTAATGAGACTGATTGTATTATGGTTGAAACATAAACACCAGCCAAGTTACATTAATAACTGATAACACAATACATGTGACATTTCCAAAAGTGCTCTGTCCTTATCTTCAGCAGCCAGCGAAGAGTTCCAGATCAGATCGTGCCAAAACAGATTGATTATATGGCCATCTAGTTGTTCATCTGGTCACTCCTAGCTGTACCATTCTCTCCAGACCACAATGATCTGTTTGTGCCTCCACATTGTTCACTTGCTCTCAAAAGATCCTGGCCAATTGCAGCTTGTTAAGTATCAATTAACCACCCAGTAATGAGGAACCAACCAGGCTGTCTGCTGACTACCTGGGACTTCTTAAGCAATGCTTACTGCTCAGCATTTTTGCATGCCTGTCTCCACCTTTCTCGGCATGCATTGTGAGTCGGTTACAGTTATGATTTGTGTGTGGAGCTGGTTTTCAAGCCATTGGAAAGCTGCTGCTACTGCTTCTATCTCCATTACTCACATATGTTGTTGTACCATATGCTTAGCTTTGTTGCACTAAGTGTCCTCCATTAAATTTTGCAATCAACCCCATGCATTTATTTTGCCTCTCAACACAGAGCATGTTTGATAGCATCACTTAACACTCAGTTCTGATTTTTTTAAGCAAAATTATGAGTATTTTTATATGTATGTTTATGTATGTTTTAAACGTGCAGTCTAATGTTGGTCTTTCATTACAGGCATGCATTTTTTTTCTTTTTGACTAGCCAGATCACAAAATGAATACAAGAGATTTGTATGGGTAAGAAAGGGAGCTAATCAGCCCATCTCTAAATTTTGTTCCCTAGTATATGGGAAGGTCTATTAGCTATTTATATTTTCTAACACTTTCTATAAACCTTCCTGAGGAGGCTTTGACCAGTCTGACTGTGTGTGAGCATGTCTGCATTTCTCTGTGTGTGTCCATCTCCTTCCCTCTCTTTCCCCCTTTATCTTTCCCTCTCTATATATATCTACTTTTCTGTCTCACTCACTTTTGTCTCTTTCTTTCTTTTCCACAAAATTTGCTTTAAATATGCCATTGATATTTATTTAAGGAATGGGTATGCATCATTACCAGCTAGTGAATTGATAGCAAGGGCTTTAAGACTATGTGACCTAACTAGCCTCATGTATGATGCTTGAAATTGTTACCAACTATTCTTCTGCTGTTAAAATTCTAGGGATTTCAAGCACTCTGGTCTAATGAGAGACTTTTGAACCTTGTAGAGCAGTTAATTGGACCAGAAATAATGGGACATCCTGTGTGGAATCTTCGTACCAAGACACCTAATAATGAGGCTACAACTGTCCCTTGGCATCAAGGTGATGTTTTATTAGTAACATCTAATTTTACGAATTCTTCAAATGAAAATTAAAGTTAAAGGTTAAAGCTGAGAGGATTGACTTCATTGTGTTGGGTTTTATCCCCTATGGCTCAGTCTCTCTACACAGAATGGCTAGCCAACTCCAAGAGCGCTGTGCAGTGCACGAATTCCACAGCTCCGGCGACGATCCCCAGGGATCTCAGTAAAATTGCACTCATGAACTGAAGAGCACAACTGTGAAACAAACCCACGACCTCCACAGCATGAGGCAAACTGTTTGACCACCTCGCCCTGGAGACCCCTGACATGTTATTATTATTCTTTGTAATAGACCCATCCGCAGGGATGCATGTTTCCTGCATATATCTATGTCACGTCTGTTGAGTTTGGCATCAGTTAATAGTTTTTTAGGAGTGGTCACAAAATTGTAAATACACACAGCAATTGGCAGTTGACAGCAGTTTTTCTCACATCTTAAATTTTTTCCAGATCAATTGAAAGCTCAGGGTATGTACTCAGTGTTGCAAGTTGAGGCTTAAAGTTATGTGTCTGTTTATTTCATGGTGCATTGGCTTTTACAGCCTGTGATTCTTCTTCTTCTTCGCGTTCACCAGCTGTAAACTCTGGCAGAAAGTTCTGGTTGTTCCTCCACTTCTGGACTGTAGTCCTGTTCCAGAACCTGAATGTTGCATGTGCATCCGTTTTACAGATCTGACTCATTTGTATTCAGACTGCTGGTTCCTTGCCTCTCAGGCAGATACACTCCGACTTCGAAGCAAACTTCCAATTAGTCTACTCTTACAACATGCTTTTGGTTAGGCAGTGGGTCTATTCTTGTTTTCCCTATAATAGGGCTCCGGAACCCACACGGGGAAGCCTGTGATTCAAATTTTGTTCTGTCTTTAAGCACTTATTGAAGCTTACACATACTGTTGTGGATCAACACCTTAGCTGTTCACTATCAACAATCCACATATGAGTTTCAGCGTAAAAGATAAATTTTACTTCTATACCCTCCTCTGATTTTATCTTCTTATTTTCATTCTCCCTGCCAGTGGTGTTCAGAGGAGAAGAACACGGGACTCTCTGAAATTTGTGATGCAATGCACGTCTTCCACTGTTCCATATAGATTGGTTTCCATTGAAATTCCAGCCAGCTAGACCTGGGATCTCTTTATTGCATGTAGAGTGTATGTCTGTAGCACATGTTCAGTATTCTATGGTGTCTATCGACATGGGCACAGTTCTGAATCCCCAAACTTGAATTTCTTGTACATATGGCTGCAGAGTCTATAGTCGTTCAACTTCTCATGAACCCACTTGCAAGCCATTTTCTCAAAAACTTCCTGTTAGATCAAAACAATTTTTTGCATGCAGCCTTAGAATATCCATGACGTTAAGGAAACATTTTTTCACTAAAGGAGAATATCATATGTAGTTTTTTTTTTCTACTTTACAATATATATTTTTATCATGAAACCGTCTTGGTAGACTTTGGAAAGGTTTACTTTCATTAGTTTCAGTGAGTAATGCATACCATGACTGGTTTAACAGGATGTCAAAGGAAACCTACACAGTTTCATGATTTTCTTGTGCAGAGTCACACTCTTAGCGACCTCACACTAAAATAAGACGTCGGTCAAGGTTGTTTAGTCAAAGGGACTTCCACAAATTAGTGTTGAGTTATTGTGTCATATAGCTAGTTTATAAAAGCTGACATAGACATCATTTTCAAATTCAATTTGACATGCAAATTTATAATTATGCAGAAGGTTACTGTTTTACTGTATCAGCATTTCCTCAGGGAATCTAAGATTATTCATTTATATTGTGATATTCATGACCCAGAGAAACGAACACGATTGACGCTTGGTCTGGATAGAGCATCATATAGATGTCATTAGACGTGAGATCTTAAAAATGTTAGAGACAAATCAACTTGTTTACTCTCCATAACTGAAATTAACATTGAAATCACGATGCAGTGTTGACATTTCAAAAAGTCCTTCTCAAAAATAGACTTTCATTTCTGGAAAAAGTGTGTTGAACATGTGTTCCAAGAGGAAGACGAGTACTGGCACCAAGATGGATTACAATTTGTTTATCCAGTAACAGTTATCAACCTTTTGGGATCGTCAGATTAAGAATGATTAAAACCATGTGTTCGATGAGTGGTTGAATATCATCAACCCGTAAGATAGATCTACAGTTGCAACAAATACATCTCCATATCCAAATGTGTCAACCATAATACAATTTGCTGTGCAGTTAAGATACACGGTGGAATCTAATGGTGACTGAAGGGGAATACCAGCTGTTGCACAATATGAACATGTTTACAATTGAACAAGGCAGACGGATTGGCTGGATCTGCACCACTGGGTGGTGAGTTAAAACATGACAAGCAGATGTAGTCAAGGTCCTTTGGGAACAAGTTATGAAGTCAGAAGAGAAAAAAGATTATCATAGCATGGAGAGAATGATACACCTTGGTGTGATCAGAGGGCCTGGCTGGCACACTACTCTCAGAGGAATGGCAAGATGGACATAGACTGGATCCGGTGCCATTAGTATTGAAACTCTGCGCTGGCTGCTGAAGATGGGAACAGATCGCATATGGGAATACCTGGGGTGCTGTGATGGTTTTCTTGACTTAGCTTAACTCAACTCAGTTGAACTTAAATGAGAACAAATAAATTTACTTCATCTATCAATGCATTATGAAGACATGCCTCTGACATATAATAGAACCAGAAATTCACATTTTTACTGTAAAATATAAAAGTTTACTCCACTTATTTATCGAAAAGATCAAAGGAATTGGCTGGTATTCAGCATCCTGAGCATCTATAAAGAATACCATTATTTTTGCGAATGGATATTCTAAGGCTGCATGCAAAAAATCATTGCACTCTAACAAACAGTTTTCGAGAAAATGACTTACAAGTGTTAGTTAGTCGTTACGGTTCCAGCATCACAGCAAACGAGTTTGGCCCATAATTGCTCAACCGCCTATGCCAGTGATTCCAGTCACAAACTAAGTCAGATACGCTAGATACTTCAAGTAATTGCCATAGCCATACAAAGTGTCCTCAGTCAGCAAAACACACGCAGTTTGATCTGGCAAACCATAAAGTGCATGCCTACTTAAATGATCTAAATATAAGTGTGCAGTCTAAATACAATGGTGGGTTCCTTTTGTGTAAGGAGGTTGATTAGGTTTTCAAGATTGTGTCCAGGATGATTGTTATGAATTTCTGTATTAAAACAATTCTTCTGTACAGAAAAAAAAGAACAGTAACATTAACCTACCATTTAGATCATATGAGTGACTTCCCTGTGTGGGTACAGGGGCCCCATTGTGGGGAAAACAAAAATAGACCCACTGCCTACCCAAAAGCATGTCGTAAGAGTTGAATAATTGGGAGCTTCCTTTGAAGTTGGAGTGCATCTGCCTGAGAGGCAAGGAACTAACAGTCTGCATTCAAATGAATCAGATCTGTAAAACTGATGCACACACAACACTCAGGTTCAGGAGCAGGGCTTTCTGGAAGTGGACGAACAAATAGAACTTTCCGCCAGAGTATACATCTGGTGAACACGAAGAAGAAGAAGAAGATGTAAATGACTAAGAAGAATATCTTGAGACTGGCTACTTCATCACCATCAAGTGCCTTGCCGACTGGCATGGGTGATCATGCCTTGCCACAAGCTGCGATCTGCAACTGTGTGTATCAGTTCATGTGTTAGCACCCCTACAGACCATGACAAAAGGATGTAAAGAATCTTCTTGCATTGTTTTCCTCTGTCTCTCTTTCCACAGATCTTTCCAGTGGTCACATGTTCCAGTTTCCCTCTTCTCATAATGTAACTAAAAAATTATGACCATCTCTTTCTGTTTGTGATAAGCTATCTTCGAACCCTCACCTCTTTCAAAATACCCGGGTTGCTCTTTTTGGCTAACTAGAGAATTCTATGAATTCTTCTGTAACATCACATTTCTGAGGCCTCAAGAAAATTTTTTGTTCAGGATTCACAGCCATATGTTAAACCTGGCTCTATTTGGCATGCAGGTATTCTTTTTCTAATCTCCAGAGACACGGATTTATTGCATAAAATATTCTTTATTTTATAAAATGCAGTTTTAGCCTGTCCTATTCTGTTCTTTATCTCAAGGATGCATCTTCCATTGGATATTATCCATGTGCTTGGATAGCTAATATTTCAGTACTAGTCCTAAAATAACCCCTTCTGAAACAAGCAGACAGTTAACAACTAAAGTTACTACGTAACTGTAAGTTTGAGAATTGGTCGTACAAGGGTTAGATCCTTTTCTGCTGGCAAGACAGTTCACAGGCAAGGCAGAGTTTTATAGTTGACCTTAGTTCAACACAGCCTCAAATTGATAACAGGTATAGTTCTGTGAAGTAAAAGTGGTTGGCATGATGTGGCTCACATCACCCATCAAGATTGCATCGGTCTGTAAAATATGAGTCTAGTTCTATATCCTGGTTATGCCAGTGGTGTGAGAAAGGTCCTCTACTTACTTATTTACACCTTGAATTGAAAAACAGATAGTGCCTACTTGGACAATGAATCCTACAAAGTTTTGCAAGCTACCGCCTGGATTCCTCTTTTGGATGCTACAAAGAAAAATGGATGTATGGAGGTAACTTGCATTAATAATTTGTGCTTTTAAATACTTAACCATGTCACCCCAAAAAGACTAAAATCTGGTCACTTCAGGTTGTAAGAGTCTCGTAAACGCCGATATACGGTCATGTCTGCAGTGACCTCTTCTTATAAAGCATAGTTAAAATATATTGGGCCTAGGTACACCTGGGTAGTGTTTAATAGGCTGGGATAAGAATATAGTTACCCAGAATAGCATTTACAATTGTTTCCTTAGTACCCCAGGCATTTATGAAAGCAAGCTGATGTCAACTGATTCTGTAAGTTTTAGTGATAGAGGTCACCAGGTCACCGCATAAATTACCTGATATACATTTTTAGGAACCAGATAGTGTATTACATTTAATGTTTTACTTAAGTACATGTTGATTGAATACCTCTTTATTTTATATATCTTTATGTATTTGGAAAAAAATGTTGAAATGTATTTTTTAAAATGAATTAATGACCTATGTATTATGGTTGTTTGTTTTTTAAAAAGGATTTTCCTGAAAATTCTTGCCATTTCCTTACCCATTTTTTTTAGTTTTCACGGGACAAAAGGGTTAAATAAAAAAATATAAAAGACCACAAATGTAACTCTTTCAGGCCAATGAATTGTGACAGGCTTGGCTCACATTAATTCCCCTTTACAAAAATGGCAGAGGGGGTGGTGTAAAGAAAAAAGCAGTTGAGAATGTAATATAGTTCAGATCCCTACAAAAGTTTATATATTTTTATAAAGAGGAATGAATGTAAATTTTGAATCTTATGATATTTTTTTTAACCCTTTGAAAATGACACGGTCGAAATATCGGCCGAACCCAAAGTAGACAAGTGGTCGGCCCAATATATTACAAGCCTTGAGATTGGTTGGCAGGTTTTCATACCAGCCAATCAGATTGCATCTCGCATTTCTTGCACGTGTGGGCTGCTCATTGACAGCTTTCCATAAAGTTTGATGTGTATTGTAAATTGTAAGCTAAGCAAATCACCTCCTGAAAGCTCTTTCTTTTTGGCAATGAAACTCCAAAGAAAGGCTTTGTCTCTAGAGGATTAATACTGTTATAGTTAGTAGGGAAAAAAAGAATTCAGCATGTGTTATGTTTACAGAGACAAAATTTTACAAACAATTTTCACTTTCCTTAGTTTTGCAGCCACAAGAGCAGTGAATATCCAAATTTGAGAATAATGCTTTAAAGTTTGTTCTGTTTCCTAACAAATTCAAAATTTATTAAATGTTTCTGAGTTAGGTTATAACTCAGAGGCTCTAGGTTTTCATAGTATGTTGAACAAACATTCTGAGAAAAATGGCAGAATTTGGGCCTATGCACACAAAATATTAATTTTGTAGTTATATATAGGCTGTAACTGCAATGATTCCAGTGTAGCTTAGCCACAGTATGGTGCTGTCTGAAATAGTCCTTTGGATGAAATGTGGGGGACTATCACATCCTTTGCAAATAAAATGCATCCTCCGGGTTTAACTCATTATAACAAACCGCTGACCAAAACATATGCAGCCACTGGTGTAAATTCAACACCCTAATCACTTTCTGAAAAATTTAAATTTTTAATATCATTATCAGAATTAAAAACATCTGACTGAAACAATTTCAGAGCTTCAGCCATAGAGGGGTGCATTTTGTGGCCTGTACTTGAGGCTACAACATTTCTATCTATAGCCAGTCAAACACAGAATTAGAAAATGCACTGCCTGAAAATGACGCTAGCAGTGAATCAGATCAGTTTTTACCCAAAATGTGTGAATAAAAGCCTGTATATTATGAAAATGTCAGAGTAGCCTTCCCTGGTAGTTCCGAACATTAGAAACAATATGGAGCTGTATGCGAATCAATATGTACAGGACACGCAATCAATGCTGACAGTGTTGTTTGGGCTAATCGGAATTTTTTAATTAACACATACAATGCTGCTCAGGCCTTAAAGAGTTGAATTATTGCAGAAAGATGTTTAAATTCTGACCTAATTCATTGAAATCTGCCTTTGTCTTCATATTTTCATACCCACTACAGCCTAAGCCCTTAAGCAACTCTGGCCTGTCTTTTGTTATTGTGAACAGCTCACCAGATGTCCTCCCCATCTTTTCAGAATCTTCTTGTGCTGTCTTCCTCTGTCTCTCTTTCAACAAATCTTTCCAATGGTCACAGCTTGTTCCATTTTCCCTGTTTTCAAAACATAACCAAAAAATTATCAGTCTTTTTTTTTTGATGTTTGTGATAAGTTGCCTTTGAGCACCTGCCTCTTTCAAAACATCTGGGTTGCTCTTCTTAGCTGTCTAAAGAATTCTCTACAGATTCTTCTGTAAAACCACATCTCTGAGGCCTCAAGAAATTGTTTGGCTTTTTTAATAATTGTCCATGATTCACACAGCCATATAAATGCTTATGTTGTAGGTTATCTCAGGCGGACACCTGCCTGGTAAAGTGGTGCGACACACCTGTTGCTGGGGCAACACCTGGTATGTGATGATGGACGAAAAGGATGCAGAGGAAAAGCTGAGTATGTCTCTTTAACTCTTTCAGTTCCAAGCATGTGTTACTTTAGCTCCTTCTATATCAAGGAGTTCAGCTTAAAAAAGCAGTGCTTATTTATTTAGGTTTGAATGAGCTTACCAGAGATATGTTAGAACAGAAGTAGTTAAGCTAATAATTTAGGCACACAAGGTTAATATTACATACATGTGTAAAAAAATACAGTAAAATCTTTAGATTCAATTTATAATGGCCAAGAAACACATGATGGATTGTTTACTACTTGAAGAGTTAATTATGTAAGTGATGTCTGTTCTATGTTAACATAGATTACAGTACCCAAAAAAACAAGAACCAAAATTAACCCTATTCGTTAATATTACCTTGGCCAGCATGCTGTGGCCAAATCACCCACCAAGTGCTGAACGGTCTGTCTTCTTCTTAGTATTTTTAAAGTTCTGGTTGTTTGTCTGCTCGTGGACTTTGGTTCTAATACATAACTTGAGTTTTGCGTGCACATTCATTTTTCAGATCTGGCTTATTTGTATGCAGACTGTTGGTTCCCCACCTCTCAGACAGATGCACTCTGACTTTGAAAGAAACTTCCTTGTTTAGTTGTCTGGTATGACATGCTTGTTAGGGAGGCAGTTTGTCTATCCCTCTCCTCCTCCCCCCAGAATGGGGTCGCAGAACCCATACAGGGATTAGTAGTAATGAGAAGTTAGATTTCCTTGAATTCAGTTTTGTTTCTGGTATTTTAGATATTGATATGGAGAAGGACAAGGTCCTGTGTGAGGTGCCTTATGGTGGCATGCTGCTTATAAACAATATGATTCCACACAGAAGGTTGGTCCTTTGATGTATATGTAGTTAGCATGTTGGTGTCTATGACTTAGGCATGGCGAACCTGCTTCGTAATGCTAGGGTGCCGGGTTTGATCCCAGCTGCGGGCGGTTTGTCTTGCATTGGTTTCGACAGGGGTACCAAGAGCTGACATTTCAGAAGCAATGGCAAACTATTGAATGTGAAATTTGCCTAGAAAAACCACAACAGCCAAGAAATGCTGCGGTTGGTTCTGTGATGTCCTGTACATGAAAAGCAGCTAACTTTTAGTTGACATCTGTTGCTTAGCCATTGTGAATGCAGCTTCATAATTCCAAAATATCCGGTTTGATTCAGCTTTGGGCCATTTTGCAGCAGACCCCTTTGCGTTGATTTTGACAGTTTTATCAAGAGCTGACCGTTTCAAAAGCAGTGGCAAACTACTGAATGTAAAATTGTTTAGCGAATTTAAACCTCCCCAATGTGGGTTCTAGGGCTCCAGTTGGGAAAAGTGGGAGCGGGGGTGAATAGACCCCCTGCCTTCCAACAAGCATGTCGTACACGATGACTAATTTGGGACATTTCCTTCAAAGTCGCAATACATCTGCCTGAGAGGTAAGAAACCAACAGTCTGCATTTAAATAAGCGAGAAATGTAAAATGGATGCACATGCAAAACTCTATTCTGGAATTAGGCTAAGTCCAGTAGTAAAAGAACAACCTGTACTTTCTGCCAGAGCTGACAGCCAGTGAACGCTTAAATACAAAAAATGCAATGCTGACATTGGTTGCTGAATGTCTTGTAAAGGATCAACAACAAACATTTTAAAAAATAAGTGAGATTCCAGAGCTTGTTAAAATCATTTTTAATGGAAGTATCACTTGTAATAATGTTATTAGGGAAGCAGAGAATAATAGGAGGAGCGGCTGGCCAAGTGGTTAGGAATCCTGGGCTCTATTTGGGAGATCCAGGTTTAGATCATCTGTACGGCGACTGATTTGGGGAGGGGGGGGGGGGGGGGGGGGGGGTTGTTTAAAGGGCAATAATAAAATCTAACCCGATACATAATCTGTGGCAGCAGCACTAACCGTGCAGTGCTACATCCTGAGGCTGAAGATCACCGCCCTCTCCTGCACCTCCCTAAAAAGTGTCAAGTACGGACAGTCAAGACTTACCATGCATTGTCATAGACTGCTAAAAAAAAAAGGTTAGTCGACCTAAGTCTGGCCATCTTATCCCATAGGCAGCTTCAGCTGTAGAATGCAACAATCATGTACAAGTGTACAAGAGACTCTGCTTGAGTTGACTTAGGGCCTGGGCAGCATTGGAAGAAACTGGAAGAAAAAGAAGAAGAAACTTTTCTAGTAAAATTTCAAAACATGAAATTTCCCCCCATTTCTGTTTATAAATTAAAATTAATGGACTATTTTTCAAATCAATGAATACTATTTTGAAAAAAGTTATTTAAAGGTCTACTTATCTCTTGGAAAGATGACGGAGATCTCTCGATCAACACAAGTACAGCATAACTTCTGGTGCAGTTTATGTATTTGGCTAAGCATACGAAGACAAAAAGTTAGTTAATGATTCTGGTTGTATTGTGCTATTGAAATAATCAGAAAATTTCACTCAACATTTACACATATCAGGTTATATCCTTAACACACTTTTTTATTTATTCTGTTTTATGTTTGTTCACATTAACTACAAGAAGCCTAAATATCATCATCATCATTTACCAGGTCCTTTGCCGGAAAGAAACTCGGTCTCTCGCCAGCTCTCCCGCCTCATGCACTTTCATTCTCAAGCAGTCACTTATATACTGTGCTAATCTTCGTGTTGGTCGGCCCCTGTCCCTCCTTCCTGGTACCATGCCTTTTGCTATTATTTTTTTCAAATCTGTCGGGTGTGATATGACCAAAATATTTCAGCTTCTGAGACAGGATGCTGTTTATTAGCAAATCTTACTTAATGTTCAAATCTTTCAAGATGTCAGCATTTCTCCTGTTCTTTGTCCAAGATTTTATGAGAATCTTTCTATATCATTTTTGCTCAAAAGCCCCTTTTCTTTTTCTTAAGGACTGGGAGATAGTCCACGACTCACATCCGTATGTTGCTACAGGGCCTAAGCATAGTCATGTCAAAAATGAAGCAGTAGAGTGTGGAAGTATTTGTTTGGTTTACAGTACACAACATTTGGTAAATGTATTTCTTGTTAATTCCATTCAGTTTGAACAATATGTCCGATGAAATCCGCTGGAGTCTCGATCTTCGCTGGCAGACTCCAGAAAAACCCGTAGGCTTCTATGGTCTTAAGGACGGAGTTCTGATGAGATCCCAGAAGAACCCTATTGAGAAGATTGATTGGGAATCATTCAACAGTGTAGACAGACATCAGGAGGCAGATAAAACCCGCAAAGTATGTTGTAATGTTTTAGACCCAACATAGTGGGTGTGTGTTTTTTAAATCTATCATTGGTTAATATATATCTATATATATAAAAATCAATGTTTGTGTGTTTGTTTATGAGCTATAGACTCTGAAACTACTGAACCGATTTAGCTGAAATTTTCAGGATATGTTTATTTTGATACTGGAATTTTACCCGTCATGGTTTGAAATTCTACCTGTCATTGTTAGAGATAGGGGACGACGACATTTGTTGGAAAAATCTTCGAAACTAATATTTCCATTTTTAGTGACATTTAATTATAGCCACGTTAGTAAATGCGCATGTGCGATCGACTTTCACAGTGCATGCGCAGGAGACACGGGACGCTCTATTTTTAACATCTGCTCGTACAGCAAACCAGACTATCTCTATACCGCTGATTGCGACGTTAACCATATTAGACACAATTTCTATTTTCTTTCTTTTCAAACAACCTTCGATGAGTTAGAGAGTAGTCGATGAATTTGAGAAAGGGGAAGAGAAGGTTGGTGGGTGATCTATGTGACATAGCAGTGACATTATTTTAGTTATTGTGGCGGTGGTGGTAGTAGTTGTACTGGTCTTGGAGGATAGTGTGGTAAATATTGCTCTAGCCGCATTTACTACTAATTAAAATTCCTGCTCCCTATTTTAGTCCGGATGGACAGGGGTATTAATGTCAGTTACAAAAAATATCGACTGGTGATGACTTTCAAATCCTTCGATGAGGCAGAGAGCAGTATTCGGTGGATGGGGCAGGGGAGGGGGTGATGACAGAAATTGTTAACTTAAAGAGCTTAACGCATGATTTTAAAGTTTTCATTTCTTAATTTGTTTATATTTTACTAACGCTACCTCCGCTATTCTCATTTTTTTAACGACTTACTTGGTTATTTACAAGTACAGTAGTAAGCTTTACTTCCGTGTCTTTAAAAACAGCTTTAGCATGTGATAGCCAACTAATTATATGAATACACTTGTTTCTTCATCAGGGTGATATTTGCAGCTGACATGTTCAAATGCTAATGTACCTGTAGGTTTTATTTTGTATATTATCTAGTGTGTCCTCTCAGCTCTTTTCTTTAGTACATAGTGGGTTAGTACATAGCGGGATGTGTAAAAACCTCTTGCTGTCTGCTACACAATGTCAACTTTTAAAACCTCTAGCTGTCTTCTTCCCAGTATCATCTCTAAACACATCTTGCTTTCTGTTACACGGTATCATCTCTGAATACCTCTAGCTGTCTGCTTCACAGTATCATCTCTGAATACCTATAGCTGTCTGCTACACGGTATCATCTCTGAAAACCTCCAGCTGTTTGCTTCACAGTATCATCTCTGAAAACATCTTGCTGTCTGCTTTACAGTATCATCTCTGAAAACCTCTAGCTGTTTGCTTCACAGTATCATCTCTGAAAACATTTTGCTGTCTGCTACATGGTATCATCTCTGAATACCTCCAGCTGTCTGCTTCACAGTATCATCTCTGAAAACATCTAGCTGTCTGCTTCACAGTATCATCTCTGAATACCTATAGCTGTCTGCTTTACAGTATCATCTCTGAAAACCTCTAGCTGTCTGCTTCACAGTATCATCTCTGAATACCTATAGCTGTCTGCTTTACAGTATCGTCTCTGAAAACCTATAGCTGTCTGCTTAACAGTATCATCTCTGAAAACATCTAGCTGCTTCACAGTATCATCTCTGAATACCTATAGCTGTCTGCTTTACAGTATTGTCTCTGAAAACCTCTAGCTGTTTGCTTCTCAGTATCATCTCTGAAAACATCTTACTGTCTGCTACACAGTATCATCTCTGAATACCTGTTTACCACCCAGTGTTATCTTAGAAAACAAACCTCTTTGATAATTGCTACACAGTCCTTGGGTGTGATTTTTGGAAAAATTAATAGACCCACTGCTTCTAACAAGCATGTCCTAAAACACAATTAAAATAAGGAATTTGCTGAAATCAGATACCACAGCCCAGTGTAAACCACAAAACAACATGCTAACCACCAATTAACACGTGAACACACAAAAAAGAAGAATTTAGCGTGTCACCTGTAATATTCTGTTGCTTTTTGTTACTTGAAATACCTCTTTATTAAAGGAAAAACAGTAGACACTACCACTTGACATTGGTTCTAGAATACACTTTTATTGGGTTCTAGAATACAATTTTATTGCTGTGTATGGGTTCTGGGGCCCCAGTGTAGGAAATACAAGAACAGACTGCCTCTCTAACAAGCAGGTCATAAGCATTGACTAATTCAGGGGCTTCCTTGAAGTCAGAGTACATCCAATGTGGGACGCAATATATATTTTTTTATTTTGAGGCCCCATCCCAAATGTAGTTTGGAGCCCTAATGTAACCTAATGGTGACACACGGTTCTGGGACTTGCCCAGTGTAGGAAATACAACATTAGAAATGCATGGATACCAGGAAATGCATTACAAGTAAAGGTGTGACCTCACTACTCATGGAGTGCAGATTAGTCTATGAACGAATGAATAAATCAATCAAGAATTGACATCGCTGTACTCAGAACATCCCCACACATGCTCTTTTCCCTTCTTCAGCAGCCAACGAAGTCAACATGCTAATACTACCAGTATTAGTCTATACAAAAATATGCGACTAGCATCATATTCTCAATGTGCATAAAGGCATCAACAGGGTCCTTTACTTTACTTAGCAGAGTTCAGGTCTTTCAGATACTTACAATAGATGAAATTGTATCATTAGTCTTAGTCGAGGTTTCAACTTCACTGCAGTATGTCACCCCATACTTGCTCTGTTCCTATGTGAGGGAAAATCAAATGAAATGTCCCTCAGTAAAAGCACACTCAGTAAAAGCACACTCAGTAAAAGCACACTCAGTAAAAGCACACTCTGTAAAAGCATATGGTAGTTGCTAGAGGAGCCAAAGCCAACAGTTGCCACCAGAAATGAGGTTTGCCATTGATGGAAGTAGTCGGGCATGATAAGTTGGCTATACACACGTATAATTATTACATAAGGTATTTCGCCAGCCCACATGTAAACCGGCTACCAGTCATATTGAATACCACGAATCAACCGCTACACAAATGAAAGACATTCCACGTGAAAAACACAGCTCACAGGGCTGCACCAAGAAACTGTATCAAAATCTAGACATGTGGTTCTTGTTAAACTGATAATTTTTTTTTTAAATCTCAGGCATTTTACAAATGAGTCTTTATGATTTTATCAGAACCCTTTGACAGAGAGAGAGAGAGAGAGAGAGAGAGAGAGAGAGAGAGAGAGAGAGAGAGAGAGAGAGAGAGAGAGAGAGAGAGAGAGAGATAAAAAAGAGATTAGAACAAGATATAGAGAGCAAGAGAGAGAGATAACAGAATGGGGGGAAAAGATATGGTGAGTGACAGAACAAGCAAGAGAGAAAAGAGAGTGGGACAGAGACGGCAAGAGAGAGAGAGAGCAAGAGAGATACAGACTGATAAGTGATTGAAAGAGAAAGAGAGAGAGAAGGGTGGACATTTTCAATAATTATGTTGACTATTTGTATGTGTTTTCAATTCACAGGAGCCGGTAGAGGAGGATAAGTTTGATACAATTATTGTTGGCCCCTGGATGAAGAAATGGGAGGTAACTCACACAAATCGGCACACCGAGAAATTGTCATTAAGACTGGAAACATCTTGGCACAAAGCTTGAGACAACTGCCAGCTTAGGAAGTGAACAGTATATGATGCCAAACATTGTGATTGGTTCTTTTGTTTTGTTTTACTCCATCTCCAAGATTTCATAGGGAATTTTCTGGAATGTCCAGTAATATAGGGGGTTAGGGTTAGTATTAACCAGTGTTCATTTCACACCCTAACACCCCTACACTGTTGGACCTTTCCAGAAAGTCCCTAAGAAATCTTAGAGTCCCCGAGACAGGATGAAAAAAAGGACCTTGTGATTTCTTGTAATACTGAAGCATAGCGTAAATTGATTTATTATGTAATAGTATGTAATAATAAATTGAAGTGTTCTTTACTTATGTAAAGCTGCAAATGATTATGGGGAAACGAATCTGAAGGAAAGGGTCTACTTTACCAGGATTTGGTCACAAATTACAGAGTAGACATGGTGGCTGCATATATATGTTCATATATTTCTATATCCCTATATAATTATTTTCTTTTGATGTCAACACCACCCCTTTGCTCCATCGTTTGTTGTCTCCTGTAGCTTATTCTATGCTCTTCACACAGTATTCCTCTCTAGCTGTAATTATCTTCAGTGTTTTTGAGGTTTCCTTCTTTCCTTTTTTCTTGAGGTTACTGGAAGGACTTTCTAGTTCCTGCAGATCACCTTTCTTTGATATCTTCATCAGATATTCTTGTCTCTGATGCTCTGGTATCTCTTCTGTTTTTCCAGGCTGTGATGTAGCTTAAGTTTATGTTCACGGTTTTTTCCAAGGATGAGAGCTGTAATTGTTTTTAATGAAGGCTGTTAAGCTGTAACATTATCTCTGTTATTTATCCTCATTCTTAATTAATATTGCCTTTTCCACCTTTCTATTTTATCTTTTTTTATATCACTTGATTGGAAAATTATAAACAAGGATTGCTTTATTATATTAGTCCGCACATCTAAACAGACATTGTAATCTGTAATCTGTTAAACCTTAATGTCTAAGTTTATTATTCTTTAGTCTGTTGAGTCATACAGTTTCCTAATTTTTTTTTTTTATGTTTAAAAAAATAATGTATTTAATGCTGGGATTTTTGTTCAACTCTTACAGACAGAAAAAAAAAGATTTTCCTGCAGAAACAGTTGCGACAGTAACCACTGTGAATTAATCAAAGGTGTACTACTTTCAGAATGCAATATTTAACAGTCTGCACATTCAAATATTTAGTCAGATTTTCAAAGCATGCTCAGACCAAGTATAAAAAAATAGTCTGACACAGTATCATGCGTTTGATATACACATTAACTTATCAGACATTGTGCACTGCATGAGAGAGAAAGAGTTAGCATGGCAATAAAGATCAGCATCTAGCCAGATTTTTTTTCTTTAGTATCCTCAGGCCAGATATAAAAGTTATGGTTACACACGGTGCAGACACATGGTGCATTGCTTGTGTCAGATAGTGTTCTCCTTTACAACGGCTGTTTCATCGGGGACAATATCCCATTGGCATTCTAGAGAGAATTCAGTCAATTAGTCAGATCACATGAATTATGTGTTTTACTAAATTATATATGGGGTAACCATAGGCAAGCAATTAAACCCTTTGCCTTGCATTCTGAAGGTCATGGGCTCATTTCACGCACTGCGCCATTCGGCTGAGGATTGCAGTTCTGATATAAATAAATTGAGATTATCTCAAAAGCTAATTTTTTGTGTGTGGCTATGCTGTTGGTAGACAGCTGTTCATGCTGTGGAGACTGAGCCATATGAGATAAAACCTGGTACAGTTAAGTTAACCCTGTCTTCTTCTCCATTTCCTTCTTCTTCTTTTTTCTTCTTCTTCTCCTCTTCCTCCTTTTTCTTCTTCCTCTTCTTGATCTCTTCAGATGAGAAGGCCACAGACCTCTATAAAGACTGTGGTGCAATACAGTGTCATCTCCACTGATCCATTCAGCTTGACCGGACCTGGGATTACTACTGCATGTAGAGAGCATGTCTGCAGCATTTGTTCAGTATTGTGATGTGCCTATCTGTCAGTAACTTATTCCTGCCATGAAGGCATGTGCCTCGCTGGTATACTGTTGACAGACAATCTATTACTAGGACACACTACTGTCCAGCTAAACATGCTATTACACATACTATCAGTAGCTACGTTTAAATTGAAACACACTATCATTCTAATGGACACAATCCAACACAAGTTGAACAGTCGCAACATCTTGGCACAGAACTCCCCGTTCAGGTGAAAACCCGTCTGTTTTGTAATCCATTGCAGTTCAGTTGCCAGTCCACAAAACCGGTGGTTTTGCTAGCAGTCAACTGGTACAGTCATGCCTTTCTGTTAATCTCGGTTTGTGTCGTTGAGCTACAGGTCACGTCTTGGTCACTAAGTACAGACACGGACATTCACTATCATACACTATATCCCATACCCGCACCGAAATCTGACACTGTCCCCAGGGGAACATTTCTGAGTACCCGGTCTTGATTTTTCTGTAAATTTGGCTGCGGAGTGAGCTGTGTCCAGTTCACAGCCTAAATACAGTGGCCTGTTTCTTTCCTATGAGAAGGTTGATTAGGTCGATTGGATTGTGTTCTCGATGGGAAGTGTTTTTATGGGTTTTATCTTCATCTGGGTTTTATTTTTCTCATAGGTTTGCCCTGTATCCGCCCCTCTGTATATTAAACTCTAAATTATACTAAGATTTCATTTGCAATGTTGTTCATAAAGAATCTTGTCATTCCATTATTTAAGTTTCCGCCACTTGTAAACACCACACTGATTATGTTCAGTTTTAAAGAGAAAAACAGAAAAGTGATTTGATTTTATATTTGTTGGAACTGTAGACTGTATGAGCAAAAACATAAAAAATGGATTGTGCTTATAAACTTTAACACATATTGTAAACTGTGCCTTACCATGTTTGTTTATCTATATATTAGTTGTCGGCGTCTGTGACTTAGGCGTTGCGAATGCGCTTTGTAATGCTGGGATGCTGGGTTTGATCCCAGCTACAGGCCTTGCATTGGTTTCGTCAGTGGTATTCAGAAGTTGACCATCCAGAAAGCAGTGGCAAACTGTTGGATTTAAATTTGCTTAGAAAAACCACAACAGCCAAAAAATTCTGGGGTTGGTTCCGCAATGTCCTGTAAAGGATATGCAACTGAATAACTTTTTGAGTATTAGTTACATTTTCTCAATTTATTCGCTGTTTTGCTTTTATATGTTGAGTCATTTGCGGGATAATAAACACAATATAATAGTCACCTTTGTCTAAAGTTTTGTGTGTGTCCGTAATCCCCTAATGTGATAAAAGACTATTTCACTAACATTTTTGCTCTGTAATTGGAGAAATATGAACCTGTTGGTAAAGCTTGGTTGATTTTTTAAACCATGTAGGCATTCTGTGTATATTCCTCCTCCTTCGTCTCTTACTGTTGTCTTGGCTGAACCATCTGTATACACTCTAACCCAGCTATGGTGTGGATAAAGTCTGTTGATCTCTCCTGCAACATAAACAGCAAGAACCGAATCTCTCGGTGTGGCAAAATAACTGTCTGAAGTGCAAAGTGTTGTAGAAAACCACCATTCAATCAACCCGAGAAGTGCGAGACAAATACGGTAAAGTTAAGGAGCCTTTTCCACACCTTTCAGGCATATTGGGTAAATAGGGCTAAACCTATAAGACCGGTGATGTGGTCAGCATCAGGCAGGCCGCCTTTACTTCTCAGGACTGCCCCTGGTACCCACTCAAGGCTGGGAGCCAAGGTCATTTTCTTTTTAAAGTCCAGCCCACCAGAGAGCGAACCCACGACCTTCTGATCCGTAGGCGAGCGAAGACAAATACAGTAAACTGTGAAATTCGTCTGTAGTTCCGACAACAGTGTGTTACAAAAAAAGAAAGAAAAGTATTGTAGGCACATCAGCGCACTCTTTGATGAAACTCGCAGCAGCCAGCATCAGATTGTTTGTTTTAGTACCCAGAAGCCTTGAGTTGTTAACCCTTAGGCTCGGTATTATGTATATCGCAACCTTTCGGCCTTGATTCCATTGTAAATACCGTAAACCTGGGAGAAATGTGGCTTTTCTGCCTACCCCCGGGAGTGAACCCGGACCACAAGGAGTTCCTCACCCATTCACCGCGCAATCCGGTTTAGCCAACTACGCTAGAGAGATGGGCCCAACATCAGATAAAAATATACACCATGACAACCACTACAAAGGAAAAACAAAATGCCAGGAAAGCTCGATGTATGATAAGCAAAACAAATAAAAGATTATCACTATCCAAATACAACTGCTAGAACAAACAGACGTAAGACCCAAGAAAAACTACGAAAGCTTTATTGGGAAAGAAGTTTATTAGTGTTGCTTCAAAATGCGGACTTAAATTATGCTAGAAGATAACTGAATATTGCTTCTGGATATGCAAGATAGGTGGGCAACACAGGGTCTCTACAATACGGCCCAGATTTTGTGATATGGAGAATGAGTTGGGTTATGAGTTAGATTATCTTCACAGCACTCCAGATAATTCATAGGCACTCCGATTTCCCTCTCAACATATTCATCAGCGTCGTGAGGTTAACAGTGCCAGTCCTATGCTATGGAGAATGCCATGGATCTTGTTGCATATAGGAAGAAAATCAGAAAGGGAATGTGCATAACAATTGCGAAAGTGTTTGCAGACAGGTTAAAAACTGAGCGTCTGAAAAGAATCACGTCAACTACAACCGATGGTAACAACGGTTTGAGGTTTTGAACAACAGATCAACATTATGGCACACGGGTAGTAACCCATACTCCGTTCTACTTCTCACTCAAGTCTGAGTCCGAAGAAGCTCAGCACAGGGCACAGGCTCTGTAGCACCGGCGAGCATCCTGAAATACTTTGGGTAGATTTTTAACTGGAAATTCTGCCCGGGCAGCGCCGTTAGGCTAGTCTTTTCGATTTCCAACTGCCAAGGGATTTTTTACGTGTAGTGTCCTGGCTGGTGCAACACAGTTCGTGCACTACGCCGATCT